CTTGCCTTTTTCATTATAGTTATTGTTTCTATATAATTTATGATGTTGTACCAAATATACATATACAAAAACTTGACTTCATAAATCACATCAGAACGAACAATACATGTATAAATTATTTTCAATTAATTTTGTAGTAAAAGTAGGCTGGAAAAATGTGTATGTTGTCTCGAAAATCTCTCATATTTCCTTTTCAATTATATTTATAGCTCTTGAACTTTTATAATGCACGAATTCAAGCATAATAATCCAAGATAAAATTTAATTTGTCAAAGTTAAAGATAGAATTTTGTTTTAATTCGTTAAGATAGAGAATCTCAATCTTTTATACTTACTTATCTTTAGATCATACTGTTGGAAAAATGAATGAAGTCAAAACAAATACTAATCAAAAGCAAGGAATTTGACCTAAATATACATTAAAGCCCAATTTACCTCACTTGTCTTTAGGTTTTGTTATAAACAAAACTTTTTGTTGCTAGCCGTCTACCCTGGCAAGTAGAGTTGGCAGAGAACAAAACGATAACTTGATCTGTAGTGCGTTATCGACAACCCGTTCTTGTGAGGTTAGTGAGGTTTTTCATTCTGTACTACTAAGTAACTATTGTCGTAGTGTTTAGAAGTTAGGTGACCGTTGTTGTGGCATCTAGAAAGAGTTTTGTAGAGCGTTTGTAAGACCCATTGTATTTATTCCAAAATTATAGTAGAACCCGTTGTTGCGGAAGACTTAACGTAGCTCATAGTTGGGGTGAACCAGTATAAATTGCTTGTACGTGTTTTCCCTATTTTTCTTAGTATTGTGTGTGACTTAGTTTTCACTGATGGAAGGGAAAAATATTATTAGTGAGTAATTTTTCCCAACACATACAAAATTAATGTGTTGTATCGAAATTTAAGTTTGTATAATATGTGTGCTGAAAGGAGATTAACATATCTTATGAATTTCTTGAAAATCAAATATGGTAAGATTAGATAGTTCTTATAAAACTGGCTATACCTCGGACATTCATAGAAGTCACTCACACTCACAAACTAGCCTTTTATTTATAAAAAGTTGAGATATACATTACTAATGCGTGATATGGATTTCTTCAAGTCTGAATTTATATAGTCCATAAAATCAATAAATCTATAGTTCGAGTGCAACTTGTTAAAATATTGGATGGTTTGGTTGCATGAAAAATAAAGTTGGGTATATTAATTATTATATGATTAGGAGGATGATGGGTGGGATGTGATTGGAGAGACCATTTTTTGTGTAGCTCTTTCATGCCAGCTTCCCCTAATTCCTAGTGGCGTTGATTGATAGCGATCTTAGAATACTAAAAACAAATGAAGCCCATGTATATCCCACGTCACGCCTGCCCACCTTTCAATTTAAAATGGAAAGTTACATGGCAAAAACTAGCACGGCAAAAACTCTCTCTTCTCTTTTAGCACCGTGAATTTTATAATATACTTTGAATATTCTTATTGTTATTAATGAGTTTTAAGATGAAATCTCATAAATATTAATATAATATAAGAACTCAGAAAACTACATCCGAATTAAGATTGACACACCGTATACTTTTTCTTTTACATTATTCTATATTTTTAATTTTCTAATTTCGTGTTTTTCCTTAACCAAATGATACTTTTACATCTCGAGTACGTGTATATATAAGATTTGTATTTCAATTCGAATGGTTATAATTTTAATTAATTGTTTTGATATACACGTAAACCATGGAGATTGGAGAGGACAAATTAAATGGTTAGTTTATATGGGTTTAAAATTAAAAGGTAACTAACTTGTTTGTGACTTTGCTTGAAGTGGAGAGATTAAATGTTTATTAAATAGATTAGGCATGCTTTTCAATGCAACTCTCTGGGTTAACAAACGCACTAATTCAGTTTAGCGCCAGCAATGACGAACGCCTGCCTTTTTAGTTTTTCATATTTAACTAATGTATTGCCTCTGCCGTCCAGTTGCCCAACCGACGCCAAATCTATGTCTACGTCTTTTCTTTTATAGCATATTTAAAACGGGTATTGTTGCCTACACAAATTTAATTTATCGATAATTGACATATGTCTACTAACACATAAGTTAAAATCCCCCCACCTTCACTCGTTATACTACAAAAACGGGTATTATTATTTTCTTGTTTTTGTATCTCGGTGTGGTAATCGTCGAAATGGTTTTTCACGATCAAATCAAATGGATGATTGGTAGATATATGTAAAAAATGTGTTACCCTCAAAGAATCATCTCAAACTAGGTATTTAGAGACAATAAGGTAAGACTAAATAATATCTTATCATTGATCATATAGAGGTGAGAATAACTCCATATTGTGATAGATGGAATGAGTGGAGTGAGCACATAGAAAGGTGGAGGTAAAGGGTTTCTCGAGTTAGGCATAGTTGGGAAAAAGTGCGTGCGGTGGCTTAACTTAGTGCTGATTGAAAAATTAAATTGGCCATAAGCTATCGCACCCAATAAATAAACAAAATTTATTCATACACAATAGCTAAAGTTTCACAATTTTATTATTTAAAGTTGATGTCTGTCATGCGATAGTCGTCGAAAAAAAAAGTATCTCGCAGTTAAACTAATTCGTAATATTCCTTGATCATTCAAATAGAATAACAATACAAGAATCCATTATAAATATAAAAAGTAGAACAAATTCTTAACAAAGATATTAGGCACTCTAAATAAGTTTAGATATTAATATTTGAATTGTAATCCTCCTCTGTAAAGACTGTTTGGGGGAAAGAATACCCCGGACACGTGGAGGACAGCCATTGGTGCTCCAGGATGACCCATGAGTCATGCCCCAGCTCGGACCGCCGAGATCACCACCACTAGCGTTGACAGATGCTAAGTATGAGGGCCGATGTGAGCTACTGTCAGCGGCGTGATTATCGGGTGTAACCGTCGGTCCCGAGATTAGCGGGTGTAACCGACGGTCCCGAGATTAGCGGGTGTAACCGACGGTCCCGAGATTACCGGGTGTAACCGTCGCGAGATTAGCGGGACTACCACCCATAAGTAGAGGATTTCACTCCACGATCAGGTACGATGATTTCTGACCTCGAACTAAACTGGGAATCCGACCTATACTGACTTGATTGTCGGAGTGCTCACCTTTTTGTGCAGGTCCGCCCAAGTATTCAGATCGGTCCGGAGGTCGAGTTCGAGCTGCAACCTGAAATACACTGTTGTGCATATCCTTGCATAAACAAAAACTATAAAATATTTTTGGATAGGAACGTAACTCCTTATAATAAAACATTCGACTAACTTAAATATAATTCAATTAATCAAATAAAAATTGAAGAAGTTGGAATCTTATATTAATATATATAAGAATAGAAAAAGGTGGAATTGAATGGTGATGGAATGGGAATCTCACAAGGGCAGCTTTTTGACCGCGTGGATGGGTTCTTGGGTGGGTACAGACAGGCACAGAGCTCTTTGGCGTGGCCGGAGCGCTGAGAAAGAAATCGTACGTGGCGGCTGGGCCTCGCGATCTCTCAGTTTTTTAGCATATTCCTCTGAAGGTTCCCACTTCCAGCCCCACTCCCCACTGCCACGCTTCGCCCTTTGACCTTCCTTCTCTTTATTCAAATTACTAAACCATAAATTTTAAGTTTTGGTCCCTCAATTTGAAGAAACATATAATACAACTATTAACATTTTTAACATTTTTAAACTATGTAATAATTTTTGTTACTATTTTATTTGGTTTCTCTGCTTTCATAATTATTGAATTAAGAAAAATAGATCTATAAAATTTTTAATTTGTCTCTAATAAATTTTTAATGTAGTATGCACTTTTCAAATTTTTGAGATTTATTATTTACAAAGTTAAAAGTTGAAAGACTTTTTAGATAGTATTTATAGTATACAGATCTATTAGATAAAATATTAAAAGTACAAGAACTTATTGTGCATTTAAAAAAGTTTAGTGACGCTCAAACTTATAGTTATGTATAAAAAAAAGAACTATCATTTGTAACTAGTCCATTTAAAAATTAGTTTGAAATAATAATAATAATAATAATAATAAACATTTGAAAATTTTAAATTTAAATATTATTTTCATCCATAATCTCAATGTAGATTTTATTTTAGTTTTTTTAGTCTGTGATATTTTGCATATAAAATTATTTTAGTTTTTACCATTAATTTTCTAAAATAATAGAAAAAGAGCATGGACACGTACTCTTCATTTACTTAATCGATATGAAGATAACTTTTTAGGAGTTTTTGTTAAATATAATATTTTAAAAATTATTAAAGAAAAGTTAAATATAAAAGTTTTTTAATATAAGAAAAGTTCGTGAATTGAAATAAAACATTTTCTTAACTACTTGAAAATAAAACATCTAAAAGTTGAGATACTAAAAATAAACATTCTAAAGTTTTACCCAAGTAAAAATAAGTATGTGAAAGTTTAGCAAAAACCTTTACTTTACTGACAAGCTAATTTAATACTAAATTGATAATCAACGGTTTATAAGACGTTTTCAATCCCATAAATATATATATGTTTTAAATTTGCTAGACAACTTTTCTTAATTTCGTTTCATCATTTCATTAGTCCATTTAAATGGGGTCATGGATTTAATTGATTTTTTTTAGAAAAGATTTAATTGAATTTTCTAAACTTGGTACTATGAAGCATAAATTTATTAGGTTCGTTTTGAAAGTGTACATCTTAGATTGTTCTAGATGTATTTTACATAATTGAGTTTGAGTTATTTGAATTACGTTATTTTTGTAAAATTTTAATAAAATTGTAATTTTTTTTACTATATTTTAGAATACATATTTATATTATTTATTTTTCGGAGCGGAAATTACATATTTTTTTTTACGCTATAACAGGTATTTTTAAAATTTAACATTAACTAATTAATTAATTATTTTTATCACGGTCCAACCTTCTACTCACAGGTCACACGCTAGGCTATTTCTCTTCTCTGTCAAGAAAGGAAGAAATTAGAAGAAAAGAAAAAAGGGAAAAAATTCAAAGAAAGAAAAAGAAAAGCTGGAAAAGCAGAAGACATCAAATATCCCTCTTGATCCCACAGCCTTCTTCTTCTTCTTCTTCCTTCTTTATCTCTTCCCTATAAAGCCGCGGTTTCTGCAGTCTTAGTTCTTTCCATTCCATTTTTTCTTCTTCTTCCTCTTCTTCCTCCTCTTCCTCTTCAGCTGTAATGAAATTCGAAGAATGGAACCTGAAGCAACAGTCGGAACAGATATGCAGGACTATTGAGGTTGATAAGATTGATCACCATCGCAGTGTTTCACCTGTGGTCGTGATGGAAGCTTCCGAAGACTGCGAGAGCGATGGCGACGGCCTCTATATCCCACCCCTCAACTTTTCCATGGTTGATAATGGCATTTTTCGCTCCGGCTTCCCTGACTCTGCTAACTTCTCCTTCCTCCAAACCCTAGGCCTCCGCTCCATTATGTATGTATCTTAAGTTTGTTTGTATATTACTCATCTCAGTATTTTTTTCGCCGCGTTGTTTTACTTGTTGTATCTGTGTATGATGAACGGGTTGATCAATTTGCGTCGACTTACGGATGCAGATGTCTATGTCCGGAGCCGTATCCGGAGCACAACATGGAGTTCCTCAAGTCGAACGAGATTAGATTGTTTCAATTTGGAATTGAGAGCTATAAGGTGCGTTTTCGTTCATTTTGGAGTCTCCTTTATTGCTAGAGTCACGGATATGTTAAATTGTGTTTCTTAGCATCTCAACGCTATTAATTACTACATTGGATTCAGGAAATTACTGCATCAAATTTAGACGTTAATCCTTTATATTATAGAACGTGTTTTAAATTATATGGACTGTTACCAGTGAGCACATATACGTAATTTAGTATAGAGTTGTTTATCGTTCAAATCAATTTCCTTTACAATTGTGAAGTCTGAATAGTTAGAGTTTTCTCATTGGATACTGAAGAGTTTATAAGCTTCTAAGAGGGCAGAAGTTTAGATGCCTTGGGCGTTGGAGGCTCTTTGAACTGATATTTGTTTTAAACTTCTACATGATTTTGATATCATGTTTTAGTCCTGGAATTTCTGTAATGAAAAGGATGTGTTTGAAGGATAAGTTTTGGCGTGAATCAGTGGAAAATTTGGCTAATAAATATGTTTGGAATTCGCACTGCAAAGTTGTTACAAAGTGTATGTACTACAAGTGAAAACTTGATCAGTCAAGAAGTTGTAATTGCTGGAATTATGCTTTTGTAAGAACTGATTTAGAATCAGATTGATCAAAATTTTCAAGAAAATCTTAGAAATCTGGTGTAGCCTAAACATTGAAGGAGAGAATTCTTTAAAAACTCTAATTCAAGGGAGTTTATTGATTCGAAGAATTCTGAGTACAAGAGATAAACTTCTATAGAGGGACAACCAAGTATTTAAAAGACTTAAATAATTAAACAAAATATCTAACTACATTAAAAATTAAAATCACTTATAAGAAGTGGAAATTCATTAAAAGAAAAATTTAGTTGGCCTTGGTCTGTTTAAGTGGTGATGCAATCTGGGGAAATGCTTTGTGCTTGAAATAATGGAATTTTCAGTTCTTCACCTTTCACTAGTCTAGTGAACTGCCAGAATCTTGAAAATTTATATGTAACTTCATACAAGCATGTAATCTAATCATCAGAACATTGGTGCAACTTGATGAGATCGATATTTGCAATTTGAAAATGTTGATTGCTTTACAATGATGCCATGGGTTATTTTTGAAGATTTAAGCTTTTGAAATGGCAACTTCGCTCTAAATTTAGCATCAAGCTGCTAGATCATGAATTTCTAACTTGCAAGTGATCATTGACAACTCTTGGCCTCAAATTGTAAATATGTGAACGTGTTTGAACCAGAAATGTAACTCTCTCAGAAAGTAGGAGTTTTCTGATTTCATCTACTAGTGTTACTAGCTGTATCATGTGATCTTAAGTTTAGGAAATTTGTAGGCTTTGGTTATCATTTTTCCTTTATTGTCAATTTGAACCTTTACTTCATCAGAAACTTTTAAGAGCCATAACTCCACTAAGCTGTCGTGAACATCCCTTTTTTTTTTTTTTTCCATTGCTGTCAGTGCCACAGTGCTCCAATTTTTCTTAAATGGTCAATGTTTATGCCCCAGACTTCCATTATGAATGTTTGATTTATTTATGGTAACGTGGCATCAGCCTGGTGATCTTTTCTGGTCTCTTTAGGTGATACTGTGATGCTACGATTATTTTTCTTGTCCTGAGTTCGATGACAATATACCAGTGATATTACTCTGAATGATCTTGACAATATCAGTGATATTACTCTGAATGTACTAGCTTGCATAACCTAAATAAGAACAACGTAAATAGTTTTTAGAGTTAAAATGCTATTGTTATATTAATATTGCTATTTGTGTATTCAGGAGCCTTTTGTGAGCATCCCAGATGATAAGATTCGTGAAGCACTGAAAGTCGTCCTTGGTACTTATCAAATTAAACTGAATGACTGAAGTATTTACTCTGTAAAAATTAAGGTTTCTTATTAGGTTAAATTTTCCCAATGCAGACGCAAGGAATCATCCAGTTCTCATACACTGCAAGAGAGGAAAGGTAGTCACCCTTTTCCCCCCTATGTTTCCAGCCCATAAATTCAAGTTCACTACTCTCTTAATCCATAAGTTCCACTCTCTCTGTTCAGCATCGAACAGGTTGTCTTGTAGGATGCCTAAGAAAATTGCAGAGGTGGTGCCTCACTTCCGTGTTTGATGAGTACCAGAGATTTGCAGCTGCAAAAGCTAGAGTTGCAGACCAGAGGTTTATGGAGTTGTTTGATATCTCTAGCTTGAAGCATCTGCCCATGTCATTCTCATGCTCAAAGAGGTGACTAATGATTATACTGAGAGGCTTTTTGTTTGTTCCTTGGCAAATACAGATGCCAGATCTTGTGCTGGAATAAAATGGAAAAGTCAGACAACTCCCGCAATTCTTCTTAGTAATTTAGAAATTTTTCTCTTTTTTTTTTCCTTAGGGGTAATGAGGGATGTCTAATACATATGTACACCTCAAATTATTATACTTTATACCTGCCCCAAGCTCTTTTTTTCTGTATCATTCTCTGTTTGATTTGTTAAGATACCTTTGGGATTGGGTGGCATTCACTAGACTAGGGCAGTAGAAGCATTCAGCTATCCCACAATTCATGGTGAGGTTGATTTGAAGGTTGAAGTTGATGCACCAACCCAGGCTTGGATATTAGTGAAAAATAAGTCAAGATCCTTCTCTTTGTCACCTCCATAGTCGTTCCTTTCCTTAATTATTATAAAAGGCAAGGCATGAGAGAGACAGGCCAGGCCCGTTTTTCTGTATCCAGTTGGATATCAAATTGAGGATGGTGTATCAATATAATTTGCATGTAAAAGAACTGTAATGCACTTTGTGTAATGATTATTTATTTGAACCAATGAAATACTGTATTACCTGATCAGCATCTTTCAGTTAATCGCTAAAGAACATCTCTGGTTCTTTCAAAGACGAAGGCTCGAAGCTCAGTGGGAAAAGAATGGCGACCACTCAATCTGAGGTATTTACTCATAATTCTCGCTTTGATTTCTTATGGAACTCTTATCGGATTCATTCAGTGTACTGGAAACTGTGTTTCTTTATATGAAATAATTATTATTATGATAATGAAATTCAGTCACAAATGATTGGAGGGGCATGTTAAATCAAGTGGATGGTGGGCTATTTATTTCTATTTGGCTTAATTTAGATGCTTACATATAGAGGAATGACTAGGAATTCCATTCCCATAATCCCATTTCGGCTGTCTTCATTTTTTTGAAGTTGCTGCTGTTAATGATCACGGGCAATGATTGCGTAGTTGGTAGTGTTGATGGAGTGGTTTTTTCTGGCTTTGCCGAGATACAATGATTAATGTTTTCTGATTATTTGTCCTCTGTTCTTCTCCAGCCATTTGCATGTTCGGTTAAACAAGGTTATGTGGTGTGAGTTATTCCACGGCGAGGCTGGCTAGTGCTTAATAATGGAAGAAGGGTTCTTATGGCATGTTTTT